GTTGCGCGGGAGAATATGGAGATTGAATGGAAGGATAAGACTCGATAAGGGGGAAATTGAAAATTGAAGAAATTGAAGAGATAGAACGATAGACACGTAGCGGAGAGATGGATCGGTATACATAGAAAGCGAACGGAGAGAGAGAGAGAGAGAGAGAGACATAAAGATACAAGGACAGGGACTGATAATGCGAGAGAAGTTTTACAAGGAAATTTAAGAAAATTTAAAGTTTAAGAAATTCAGAGAACTTCTCTCTCCGTGAAAGGAGTTTCGGGGAAACTTCTGAGAATATTTAAAAAAGTCCTCGGAGAGTTCGGGGATGTCCGGGGGAATATTTAACGGAGTGTGCGCTCCTCTCGCGGAGGATTCCTTTTTTTCCCTTCTTCGGACGATTTTTCCGAGAGCGTCTTTGGAAATACGCCAAATTGAAGACGCCAAAGACAAAGGCTCGTTAAAACGAAAGGACTTATTTCAGCGAAACATAACCAAGCCACGTGATGTAATACAATTTACCTTAAGACCCCGAGACCTTCGTCCGCATAAAGGGTCGGTTAATCGCGTTAAACGATATCCCGGCCCATTAAAACGCATTACGTCGTTTTCCGCCGTCATTTGTAGCCGGATAACTCGCAATTAAGTGCGAACTCGGCGTAGCTCTGATTCGCGGATTAATAAATCGCGTCGGCCATTTTTCCCGGCGAGAATAATCGGTCTGCTTCATCCACGTCGGACGTAATGAGGCGATTTTACGCGGCAGTTAGCTCGCCCGCGAGTTACGAGTCGAGATAAGACGCGGAATGTTTGCAGAATTCGTTGCTAAATATTGACGGTGGCTTCTCATGGCACGAGGACGGAATGCCGGGGCGAATTAACTTTCGAAGAACCAGGGGGCGGGAAATTAACATTTCTTAATCCGTTCTCCCGCGTTCCTTCATCCGGAATTCGCGAGAAGTTGCGCGCCCTCGTAAGAAAAAATGAGTCTGAAGAGTTTTCTTCTTCCTTCTCTCTCTCTCGTGCTATAAGCGGCGGAATAAATTACAAACAGCGGAAAATAAGCTGTCTTTCTCGCGATTTCACGCGAACGGACGACAAATCCCGATTTCTCCGACCGAATTAACAGCGCGATTCGGAGCGGTCACACATGATTTTCCACGGGCGTTGCGGCGATTTTTCACGGAACACGTGTCCCCGAAATTACATTGAGTGAGAGCCCCGAAATTACATTTGGGATCGGGGAAAAAAATATTTTAATTTCATACCGCGGAGCAGCGCGTTTCATTGAAACAGATTGCGCAACAAAGCGGAAGGGATACCTGCATGCGCAATATGAATGAACACGGATTAAGTCTCGCATACAACGGTGCTTCACTGTCAAGATAACAAGCATTAGCTGGTTTAATTATAACGCCGCTAAATGAAGTTCCCCCCGTCTTAACGAGCTTTCGTTCCACTGCACTTGTACAGTTTCATATTGCTACACGACTGCATATTACGGAACACCCGACACACGATACGCAGCCGACTTCCCGGTTGCGTCCTCGTGGGCGGAAATTTTCTCCGCGGAGAAACATTTCGGAATACTTTTCAATGGAAATTCGACGAATTAATTAGGCGAGCCGTTTCTCCGTTTCTTACGTTCGGATTAATTTCCACCTTTCGCGATTTCTCCCGGGAATTTAACGAGGGGAATCTAGAAAATTCGTTCCTCGTCGATCTCTCTCAGGGAATGTTGATTTCTGGTAAAACATGAATCATCATAAAAAAAGGGTCAACGTTACTGTAAATCATTCGGCGATTCGTGTCGCCCACGGTGACACGGTGACACACTCGTGGTTGTAATTCGGCTTAATGTGCACGCGCTCGCGTGTCGGGCGTTTCTGCCGAGATGTCGCCGAGAGATAAATAATTCACCAGAAAACTGAGAGAGAGAAAAAGGAAAAGAGAAGGAAAAAGAGAAAGAAGGAGAAATTCGTCCCGGCGTGTCACTTCGGCGCTTTCGTCCCAAGCACGCATTTCCATCGTTTGAACTCCTTTAATTCTGGGGGCGCTCCGTAAAGCGAGATGAAATACGAGGGAAATTATACGGATGCGAATGCCATTGCGAGATAAATCGAACTTGAGGAAGCTCCACCCTGACGCAAAGTTTAAACGTCGACGCGAAAGTTTACTCGAGCATGCTCCCTCTTTTCACGTTTTATTCTTGGACACCCTGTGCATAAAGCGACGCGACCTATCGATGTGTGCCTACGACATATGTTTGACATTTTCAACTCGTTTCGCACGTGTACAAAGTGCAGGTTCGGCTCCGCGAGCTTCCTTCTATAGCTCTCTCTCTCTCTCTCCTTCTCGTCGCGAGATATATTTGAAATGATTTAACGACCGGGAAACGATAACCGGCCGTTTTTCGGCTTTCCAAAATTCATGATCGATTTTAATATAACAACGCATCAAACTCAAGCGAACAACAACGCGAGTCAAACTTCATTTCGAAATTATAGTAACAAACTGTTGTCCCAATTCTTTCGGCAAAATTTTCCTATTGTTTTAATCTCTTGTTTGTACGAAACCGGCTGAAAATTTCGCTCAATGAGACGATAATCACAAAGCTCCTATAACAGATCGCCGGTCTGATTTGTTTAACCTTCCGCCAAAGGTAGAATTACTCATGTTTATGCAGTCAAATAAACCTTCCGGAATATTTATATTGTACACAAAACTACGTTACAGTTTGTTAGCCATTTAACCGTCGACTATATTTTGTAGAATCAATTAAATTGTTGATCTCGATTCTCACTCGGTCTCGCTCGACTGCAGTTTGCACAGTAAAACACGCTGAGACCCGTTTCACTCGACTCTTTTCTTTCTTCCAGTGTAAAAATCTGTTCTTTATCCGCCTGATATAAGCAATTACGACTGTGCGCGCGCTATTTATTGTAATCCGGGCACTTTGAACCGTCGGATTTTACCCGGAGAAAGCGTCACGGTTCCCCGGCGTATCCGGTTTAGTTACGAATAATACTTCTCTCCGTCGGATCTCGCTTCCACTGTAAGATATCGGACGTTTAAGCTTCTACAAGCGTCGGGTCGATAAGATCGATGTCGTACCGGGAAAATCCATAAAACGGGAAACACCCGAACCATTATATAGCGTATAGGGGAGACGCGCGTCCCTTTTCGCGAGAGCGGCTTCTCACTGCAAATGGCGAAATTGTCCATTATACAATTTTTTTTTTCGGCGGCGTTCTGTCGTTTACTACCCTGCGGATGAACACGTGCGCGCGGATATGTAACAAAGCGCGATAACTAGCCGGGGGTGGATACGGGGGCGAGCTTTCGAGGCACGAGTTGTGCAAAAGTTGAAGCGCATGACAAACGATGTGAAAGCTTTTTAAATCGCTCCCCGGAAGCTCTATTAATCTGTCGCCACTAACGGATCACTCCCTCTCTCTCTCTCTCTTTTTTTCGCCCCGAGAAAGAACTGCATATCGTTTGCAACCGGAAGAAAGCATTCGCACAAAAAAAGAATCACCTTTTGTATGTCGCAACGACGATAGAAAATGTTTCGCGTATAAAAGTGAGCAAATAAAATAGGAATAATATATATATATATATAGCGGAGATATATAGCGAAGCCATATCCGTCTCTATTACTTTTAGCGAAAACGTCAGAGGGACGCTCGTCTGGTTTGTAAATAATAGTGTAAACGTGAAAAAGCAACATCGGTTGTATCACACTCGTGTCGTACGACGTTGTTATCGGAAAACGTTAAAAATACATGTATATGTAGAGAAGAATATACAATCGCAGCGTAACCTGCAGTAGGAAAGATAAGCACGCCTCCGAACGAGTCTTAATTAAGGGAACAAGATTGCGATCGAGCAACACGACACATGTTGACATCAAATCCACTCAAAGGATTTCTCTCTCCCTCTCTCTGTTTCTCTCGTTATTCGTCGTTGTACAAGCCACTGCTAATTAATAAATCATGAAACACTTTACAGGCCATTCAACAATTACGTCACGCGAAATTTGAATATTTTTTACTCTTTTCTCTTTGTCGCGTTTTGTCATAAAATATTTAGACTCCAATATTACACGATAAAAAAATGTTATGTTAAATTTAACACGTTTCACTTGTCTGAACGGTCCACTCAAATTTTTATGTTAATTTAACACAAGGTATATATATTGAAAAGTAACGTAAAATTAATACGTTAATTGACATTGAAATACTGAGAGCTTAATATGACGTGGCCTTTACTCCCTGCCATCATAGCCGTCACGCAACTAATAGACCTTCTTTGTCGTGGTTTGACGTAATTGTTAAATGACCCTTTAAATATATGTATATCAGATAATATTATAATAATATTATAATAATAATAATATTATAATATCGTTAATATTTAGGACAGAGCACGCGAACACACGTTAGAAAAATAACGATCACGCGTTTCTACCGGCATCGCATTGTTTATCCCGCATTTCGAGGCGAATTTTGATCGAGTCTACCTCCAAATGAGGTGTAATTTGCATATCAAAAGGACCCGCACGCTCCTTCGCTTTCCATGGAAATTGATGAATATCCCGTCGGGAGTACACCACGGTATCCACGGAAAATAGCGCGCTTCCCAGAAGAAGTCCTCAATTATGTCTCCTGACGCTAATGTGCGCGCGCCGGCAAGTTGCACAGTTATCCGACACTTAATTACCCAAAGTAATAAATTGATTTCCGCGACGCCATCCCGTCATGTAGTTCGAAACAGAGCGAAGCAGTTCGCGTTTAACCGTCTGACACCTTATCGTTCTCCCTTCCCTAATGAATCGATTGCCATGCAACAACGGCCACCGACGGTAACTTCAACTTTGGCCTTTCCTTCGATTTCCGGCCGCGAAGTCGGCACGTCGAAAAAGGCAGGGCTTTACGCCACTGCGCCACCACCAATTGCGCTTCGTTCATTCGCGCAATTTGTTCAAAGTTACGGGTTTCTTGTTTCAGGAAAATCATCAGTCTGGAGATTATCGAGGAAGATTCCTACGAGAAAGACGCGCTCTTTTACGTCGAATTGGGCGAGCCGTTGCTGCAAGGAGGTGAGTATTGAGTTTTCCGAACCCGAATTTCCCGATATACCATCCCGAAACCGCTTCCGCGCGCGCTCTTCTCTTTTCTCTTCTTTCTCTTTTCCTCTATCTCTCGGCACAGGGTGAGACATTCAAATGGGAACAGCTGCAGCGGGCAAATTTATGGTTATACGCTGCATTATTATTCAGTATATAATACAGCGTATAAAATTAGCATAATTTTTCTCGCAAAGCGTACCACGCAACAGTATAGCGTATTTTTGAACGTAGAAATATTTCAAGTAAGAAAGGTACGGAAAATATTATTGTATATATATATGTTATAAAATATATAATTTTTTAAATTATATATACGTGTGTGTTAATATATAATAAAAAACGTTATATATGACATATTATATATATTCCTATAGGTAAAGTACGTCAAATGCGAGTAAATCATATCAGATCGGCTCTCCTTCGAGGAGGAAAGTCTGCTTATTGTACTCGTTATAAGACGTTCATAGACGTCCCGATTTAAATGCCCCACTCTGTATATACGCGAGCGAAACGGGAAGGAAAATCTCGACTTGAACTCTCGGCATTCGATTCCGATAGCGCCGCCACTTTCTCGCTCGCGTTCCTCCTTTCGATTCGACTCGCTTCGGTCCGATTCGATTGAATTTTTGGCGATACCAACTTCGACGGAAGTCCTGCCGGACGCTGACGGGGATAAATCTTCGTCAGGTAAAATGTGAAATACTTTTTAACGGAGTCACCGCGATGATCGATGATTGTGCGCCCGACGTTACTCAGATCGTCTCCGAGTTTCGCCGTATTCAAATCGAATTTCTGGTATCTCCGACATCTCTCTTTAGTCGACTTGATAAGGGGCGGGATGAAAGGCAAGAGCAGATGGATATCGTGCGGTGAGAGAAATGTCTGGGAAGTTTACAGATTATAAAAAAATTTTAATTCATTTCTCTCTGTCTCTCTGTCTCTCTCTCCTTCTTTTCAAAAGTTGTCGCGAATCGCGGGCTATATATAAAACGCGCAAATACTCCCCGAAGCCGTTCCATTATCGGAATTGCAAAGAAAATTCGATTTACTTAATTCGAGTTCGTTTTTCTAATTTATCAAATCGAATCGCGAAATGTATAAAAATTCCTCCATTACCGGAATTGCCGGGCGAACACGATATGCTTCAAGCCGTTGTCCACCGAATTAGCATATCAAATTACAAAACGTACACAATAATTCGCTCCATTATTAAAATTGCAGCGGAGATTTACTTTATTTAATTAAAAATCACGTTTTTAATTAAGTAATCAGATTGAATTACCGGTGATTGTGAAACCGCGCGGCGTGAAAGGGAGAATATCCTCAGGGACAAATCCGATGATTTTTATCTTTATCCGTAAGAGAGAGACAGAGAGAGAGAGAGTGAGAGAGAAACAGACCAGAAAGGATCTCGCATTTTGACGATTAAACGGGTCGGGGGTAATCTTAAGTACGTCGAAAAAGTGATCGCTTAATCGCCGTCGCGATAAAACGGCGACTTCCCATCGTAATTCTTCTATTCGCCATTGAAGGGAAAGGGGGGGGG